TTGGAACCAACAAAGAAACCATGATAGCTGTCAGACTGAAGCATTTTTAAAACACTTATGTTGTATATAAGTCTACCCTGATTACATGATGAAACACATGTGACTTCAGCTGCTCTCTCTCTTGGTCTAACTGTATCCAGCCCGTAAAGATCATGGCCTTGGTGAAGTGAGAGAACAGTGGGAGCGCAGTTTTCTACAAGCCCTCAAGAATGCTGCAGCACAAAACTTTACTCATGTCCTGGAAGGGAAAGTTTCCGGCGGGGCAGCTGCCTGAGCCAGTGCCTCACCACGCTCTTTTAGGAACACGCTGCTCAGCATTTGTTGTTTTTTTGCTTCCTGCCTTTGGAGGTCATCCAGAAATGACGCAGACTGGTGCAACACTATCTGGTGATCCTCCCCACCAATCCGTTTATGTACAGCAGATTATCTAAATCATTTTATCCAATGTGTGGCCAGAATGAGTAATCAAAAACTGTTTGTACAAAGCTTCTGCGATGCGTTGGAGGTGGTTCCCCCGGGGCCATTTTTCTTTGTATGTCTTACATGACAGTGCCTTTTTTTTTTTTTTTTTAAAAAAAGTAAGAAATAATTTGAGAACACACAATGAACCTAAAACCACATCCACTGACATGCAGCCAAGCACAGTTTAAATATGGATGCATAGTTTCACGTTTGAATTTTGAGTTCACAGGCAGGTTTAAACAGTATTTTTCTTCAGTGAATGAGGAGTTTGCTCAGTAGCACTACTCGATTGCCTTGGCTGTGCACAACGTGCTTGCAGACTCCTCCTACCTTTATGAGCAGGACACCAGAGCACCTAGTGAAGTCGCGTGGTACAGGAGTGTAGTTACTACACATTTTGCCAACATGGAGTGCTATAAGTGTTGAACATAAAACTGAGTTTTCAGTGACCTTTAGATGAAAGCTCTCTTTTCATAACTAATGAACTACTGGATTCTCAATATACAGAAACATTTTCTATTTAGACTTCAGAGCTCGCCCTTTTCAAACATTAACATTGTGTGAATTTGCAGGCTGTGCAATCTCTAAATTCTTTGAGTCACTTCTAGATACAAAACTACTATTGTCCTATATGAGTTACATGCCGTTATTTATGGGAGAAGTGCATATTCTAAACAAGAGGACAATACAGTCTCCTGGTCCTGTGTCACTAGGGGAACACCTGTTTGCTACACGTACACTGGTCAGTGAGGCCCAGCCAGGTGCTATCTGACAATGCAGCACAAAGAAGTGCTGTAAAGGAACAGAAACAACCCTCAGGTTTGATGGGCATTCCTGCACTTGAAATGTTACTACTGAATCTGGGTTTGTGATCTGACGGTTGTACTTGCACTGTTGCCACACGGAGAATGCATCAGAAAACGACTTGAGAAAAGTGGGGGTTCAGAAAACCACTCTTCTAAAGTTCTCTCTGCTAGCTGAGCTTAATGAAAATGGCCTTTCCAAGAGACTGAGGACAGTTTATACATGGGCAATCTGCTCAGCGCTGGCTGTACTAGCTTTTTCCTTCTGCATGTCAAGAAACCATTTGATGTGTAATTTATTTTTTCACACAAGCAGAATGAAAGAGCAAAGGGCACCCAACCATTACAGAAGCATTGTCACATAGTACTGGAATGACCATGGTTTGCTATGGGCAACCCTTATATAATAAGGATTTGTGGCAGAGGATTGGCACTGTTACTGGAAATACTGAAGACTACTAAATTTCTTCCCATGTCCTCTTATAAATTTGTGTAATGCTCACATAGTTTGCTGCAGTATGTTTCTATGCACATGCTGCTGCCCCCCTTTGATGGCTTTCTGCTTTCCTTCCATATGTGGAATAAACACGAGATACCTATACTGTTTTCAAAGAAAAAGAGGGCAGGAAAAAATTTCTTGTAGAAAATACTAATTTTATCCTCTTCTCTAACCTGTTTAGAAGAATTAGCATTAATTAAGTGTAAGAGAGCTTGTAACCTAACTCCACTCACTGAATAAATTAAAATGTTTTGATTTATATTAGCACAGGACAGAAAGTATTAGGATAGAGACTACACTACATGCTTACCACAATGACATTTACAAACTGCAGCATCAGTTTGGGGAGCTGGTTTCACAGTCAGGGTTCATTTCTAACAAAGTGCTCTGGGCTGTTTTAATTGTGTGGTTTCATTGATAGATTTGCTCCACAAAGGTGAATCACACCATTTCCAACTGCTGCCCGAGAGAGAAAGTTTTACTACCAACAAAGCTCAAAGTCTGAACCACAAAGGTCCGACCCAGAATCTGACCTGAGTGCAAGTCCTCTTCCACCAGAAGTAGAAAACTAATAACCCACTCTGTCCTTTCTGAAACTGAGACATAACTTTGCCCAGTTCTTACTGGACTGAGATATGTGCTGCTCCGTTTCATTGTTTTTACTTTGAATTACACTTTTTATTAAAGAGAACTAAATCTGCTTACAGCTTGCTCCAAATCTTAAGTAGAATTGATGTAAGAGGTCAACACCCTCACAACATCCCACTGCAGGTAACAGAACTATGTCACAGTGAATCTGGCTCACTTGCACGCTGTAAGGCGTAGCATGGGAAACACCACTGTAGTGACAGAAGCTATAACATAAACACAGGAAAGGAGGACCCTGCTAAGCAGCGGGTGACCTCTAAAAACACTGTGTATTTTCTTTGCCTCACAGCCTTGTATGTCCCCACAGGTTGATGTTTTTGTTTAGCAATGAAAGCAAACAGTGGGAGCAAAGAATAGGACTGACAGGCTTGTAAAACTCCCTGACGTACATCCTCTTAATCACGAGCAGCCTACCTAGGAGCTGGACCTCACCTTTGTCATGTACAGATGAACACACACCTCTTAGGGACATAATAGCAAAATTCTGACAACAGCATAAATTCAGCTTCTGAGCAGCAGAAGACCCAAAAGTGTTATTAGGGAAAAGGAAGGATGTGGGCTTGATGCATAATGAAGACATTTAACTTCATTAAGTCTCTTTCCCTTGGTTTTTATCTTTAGAAATAAGTACATGCAACTGATAAAATTGTAAAGATGTAAAATGATGTATCTAACAGTACACTCTAAGCATAAGTAGTTCCTCTGCAAAACAAAAGCTACCAAAGCGCACTGGATTACCTGCATAAATATTTCCTCTAAAATACAGATAGCTTACAGTGATTATCTAATTAAGAAGGAACCACTGCAGAATAAAGTTATAGGGAGAAATTTACTACTGTTAGCTTCATGTTCTTCCATACTGTGTTCCCTTCATAATAAACCAGATTTTTTTCTCTGCAGTCTATAAGCAATAAAGGCTGCTCTTTGGGTGAAGACGCTCTCAAGCCAGCTCTGTGAGAACTAACCTTGGACCCAAAGGGCTCAGTACAGCGTGAGGACCTGGCTTCAGATCAGTACAGTCATGTTCATATGCTGCTGCTTCAGGGCTCAAGATGATTCATCTGCTGGAAAATTGCATTGCTGTAAGGGTTGAACTGGTTGGGACAGTGCTAGCCAGGAGAGCTTTCACATTGCTCTACTATGCAGTGTCAACAAGCCCTTAAGGATTTGGACTGGGGAGCAGGTTTCTGGCATCTTTAACTCTTTGGATTTTGTCTATAAATAACCTTTCAGGAGCAGGAACTAATTCAATTTTCAAACCACACACATCATTAGCAAACCTGGTAACAACTTAGTGTGTAGGCAAGATCTAAATAGCAGCATAATTTAAATCATATTACGCCATTTTTAGTGGTTGTTGAAATTCATGTTGCTTTGATTCTAGTAGACTGGCTGAGAAACTACATTAGTTCAATTTTTTCTCTTCCATTTTAAAGCTGTCTACGGGAAAAGCTTGAACAGGTTCACCACACTGGCTGCAATAAATCCTGATAAATGAAAGTAACATCATAATCAACTGGCTGGGAAGTGTTACCTGAATAGAAACATTTTCTTCCTGCTTTCTTTTTTAAGACCGAGCAAAACTTTTCCCTTGCTATTTGTCTCATTTTTTTCCATACATATTAAAACATATAGGAAGCACTTAAAGGATTCTCAGGGGTGATATAATTATATGATAAAACTCACTGCAACTACAAACTGTGCTAAACTAATTCCATGAGCCTCTCCTTTTTAGTAATCTTTCAATCTATCTTCTTCATTTACAGAAAAAAAACCTTTAAAGGAAGTTGGTCTTCCCTCTACAGCTCCCCATGGAGTTTTCAAAACTTTGAGAATCTAGTTTCAGCATGAAGATGACTTGTGTTCATATGTTCTTGGAGCAAATGTCCCCAAAATACTTGGAGTATGAAACAATTGCAGAGGGGACATATTTGATTGCTAATGAATTTTTATGAGGCAAAAGGAAATAAGAATTGAATGAAAGTTTAAATGAAAATGACAGTTTATTGGAATTTTACCTTTGCAAAATATTCATAGATCAAGCAGCAGATATTTTTTATTTAGGAAAAAAAAATTCGATAGTGTTGCAAAATGGAAATAGGTCCCCGTAGAGCTATAAACACTGCTCTATGAAAATGGCTTTATCACAAAAACACCGTTGGAATTTCCCCCATCACAATAATTCAATGCTTCTCTTCTGCTTGTAATAAATTTATATTCCAATTTGCCTACAAATTTCTTCATTTTATAACAGGAAAGAGACAGTGCATTTCTTAGTGGAAGTTGTTTACCTGTTTTCCAGGAACAGCTTCATTAAATGCTTTCATGTGATGTATGAGTGTATGGCCCACTCCTCCTGGCTCTCCTAGGAGATTTGATTACCATATGTCCTTTTAAAGAAATGGCAAGATCAAGGCAACATTACACAAATCCATCTGATTGATGCGAGTTTATAGTAATCTCCTCCTCTAAATTAAGCAAAATGACATGTCAGAATGGAAGCAGTTCCAACAGGAGTGTTTAAAAGCTGAGGTGAGTTCTGATTTCATATGCACATGAGGCTTACAAACATGTTCTGCTTTGTTCAGCTTCTTCAAGAAATCTTCCAGACAGAAGATACAATCATGTTACTGGAGAGATCTATAAAGGCAAAGGAGTACCCACTGAAAGTGGCTCAGACCTGCCTGGAGGCAAGAACTAAACGACCCAATATAGAACTTTGCCGAGACGCACCTCACCTTCAGTAAGTAAAGGCCAGACTACCCTGTCCCTTCCTTCATCAGCCACTCAACAACAGGAAATTTAATGACAGTGTGAATCCAGTCTGATGAAATTAGAATTGCATTAATTACATTGCAATACAAATTCTGGGAGAAAGAAGTCAAATCCATGTAGCTATGTTGAAATAATGGGACGACAGATCTGATGTTCAATGTGTGTAGTTGCCTTTAGAGTCCCTCTCCCAGGACAGTTAATAGCTCAGTGGGTTTTTGGTGGCTGGTATCTTTTGGCATTCAGTCTCATGTCCCAGTTGGGACTTAGGAATTGATTTTAATCCCGTTCTTTATGAAATACAAGATTTCACTTTAGGAAATACCTAATTTTAGAAACATGTTATCCCAGAAAAAATTCTTTTGATGCAAAAAAACTCTATGCAATGGTCAAACTCCTTAAAAAGTTAATTGCAAATAAGAATGAGGCAGCATCTCTTACTGCCTCAACTAATTTTCAACTATATCGTGATTCTAGTATCATCTTGGTACGGGTTAGCTCATTTGGTGCACATTTTGGTTATATAGCTGTGGGGGCTTCCCAGCACACGTTGGCATCAGCTTGGTCATCCCTGTGCTACGATCCATCGGATGGTGTGTAGTGTGTCTTTTGGGATATACAAGAGGATGTCTGAGATACCAGCCTTCCTTCCCTCGTGACTGAAGAGGGATCTTCTGAATTTTAATCCCATTTATCTCCCTCCAATCCAGTCAGAACACATCAGTGTTCCAGAAGAACCTTATCAAGTATATCTTTTTAAAAATACTGTCTTCAAAGTGCTCTGTGAGCGTTTTCTTAAGAAATACTGCATCAGGGTTCCTCCCATAGCTGGAGTGAATTTCACAGACCAGTAAAAAAAATTTTGTGTATTTTTATGACAAGTAGAAAACTATTCCCTTTTTGTCTCTAGCAAATCCCACTGTACACAACAGCTTCACATAGAATGACATTAATGAAGTACATAATGCTTAAACTGAGTACTTATTTTTCCTAAACAGTGTTTTATCAGCTCAGAAAGCTTCTATTCAAACAAGGAAGTGGCAATAAATCATGGTTTATTGTACTGGCATCTTTTCACTTTTCCTAACTCTTTAAAACATAAATAGTACAATGCAATATATCTTTTTTCAGCCTCATACCTCCTTAATCGGATCCTGACATTGACTTTGACATATCCATATATTTGATTTCTTCAAGTTCATGCTCTGCTCTCCACATCCATTCAGTCACAATGGATCTGAATTCTTTTATATCCATTTGGATAGTTTTATTCATGTGGCCTTTCATATCACATAAATAATGCCTGTTCTAGATGCAGTTCAGCTGTAAGAAACCAGAAAACCTTCCGATTATGCTGTAGCATTCAGTTACATTTACTATAGGAGCAGATCATTTGCCACTTCAGTTACCACCACACCATCAGTTAGGGATGCAAGTAAGCTAGTATGAGCATTTTATTAAAAAAAATCAGACCAAGAGGGCCTTAAATATCAATACACAGCTTCAGTTTTATACTCAATCTGAGTCTTCCCTGAAGATCTCTTCTGCAAAAATATCTGCAGCATTATGATTGATAGCAGGCTGGTCAGCAGGACTGCATGTATCCAAGATGTAAAACTTATTTGATTTAGGATCAAAAATGCAGCATCACATTATATCTTCTTCCTCCCACAACTGACAGCGATGCTGGTGATGTTCCAAAGTGTCCTGTCTAAAAAAGTTTGGAAGCTTCATTTGAAGTCACTGGAATGTCAGAATGTCTTTGAATATCATCTTCAATTAGAGTGAAAGGACATTAACATGGCATATTTAAAAGCAAGAAGTACACAGGGGTTCTGAATAAATCTAACTCCTACTAGCTTCTAGGTTTATCTAGAGTTTCACTAACTGTTGCACAGCTATTCAGAAGTATTTTGGGATTAACATACATGCAAGTTTTCTGTCAGTCTAATATGATTTCTAATAATTTAACCAAAGTGTTTATACAAGTACACTTGCTTACTAGATGTAGTTGTATTGACAGGTAATTAATGTATCTCATTCTCCTTCCTCCAATGCATATGAATTTTGCTCTACCACAGCTCCCTAATCCAGACCAGGTTATGTTGGATGCTTTATCTGATCCAAATAATTGAATGTTATGTTTTTTGATGAACATAACTGCAATTAGAAATAGAAATTCAGACAGGGTATTTGAAATTTGGACACTTTTTTCTATCACAATATTTGGTTGAGCTCACATCTCAAATAAAAAATATTTTCTTAGAGATAAAATCCTATCTGCGAAAGTAAAGCCATTTGCTAATTCACTTTCAAATAATTTAAGTGTATTTCTCTCATGTGGTTTAAAGCAAGAAGGAATTCAGCCTGATAGCTCAACTGTAACAGGGAAAGAAAATATCAAATGAACCATTTCTTTGTAACATGTAAATGTTATCTGAGTTTGCTGTTTATTTAAAAGGAAGTGCTGATTTGGCACTTGTTCTCTGTGTGTGCTGCCAACTTTGTAGTTGAAGGGATTAGACAGAAAACAAATTAATAGAGTCTAGTTTTTCTGTACTGAAACGGCTGGGGCTATCCCAAAACAAGTTACAGTAGATTCTGGGGGGGAAAAAAAAAAATAAAAAAAAAAAAATCTTTCTTACAGTCTATAGCAGGCTGAGCAATTAATAGACAAAACACAAAGTTGACAGTCGTACAGAATTTACCAGCTCAGTGACTATACAAGAAGATTTGCCACATCTCCAGTGATAAGCCATCAGAAGAAACGTGGCTAGCATTAGCTCACAGAAAATCTTGATTTCAGAGCTCTACATTCAGTAGTTATTCTGGTGATTCTTGTTCTGATTAACGTGCTTCTGTGCCAAATGCAGAACTTTTAGCTTAAACTTGTGCAGCGGCACGTGCTATCATGAATTACACCAATACTCTCCAGTAACACCCATCTCAAACACACTCCACGGGACCACATGCAAGTGCTCAGGACAGCCACGGTAGCCCTAGAGAGGCTACACAAACGAGAGGCTCCAAGTGAAGAAGATGGCAATTAGATATATCAGAGTGGCTTAATCTGCTATTGAAGGTCAACACAAGGAAGAAATCATCACTTCTTACAGGTGCTATGCAAGCTAGCTAGCCAAATAGGTTTCATATTGATTCAGTCCAAGACAGCTGTTCAAATCCTGCCTGAAAGCATGACCTGACCACTGTCAAAAAAGCAACGTGGTGAGGGACTGCTGAAGTTACATGAGCAACCTATCCCCTTCTCTTTTTTCAGACTTGTCACTGAGGTTTGCACTATGGATGACACCTTACAGATCTTAAAGCGACGTCTGCAAGAAGCCTATGATAGTCTCCAGATGCTGAACCTTTACAAATCAAAGCTGGAACATGAAATTTCTGTGAAGGCAAACTCCTTCTTTATTGACAAGAAGTGTATGGACATGCACAAAGTCTTCCCCAGCACCCCACAGCTCTTTGGCTACACTTGAATAGTAACCTTTAATATCTTAGCACACGATATAAAAATGGCAAAGGCTGCAAATATTTCCTGAAGGAAATCATTATTTATTCGGTTTTCTCAAATAATAAAATCTAGAAATAATAGAAATAAACTAATGAAAATTAATATCTTGCCTCTTCCCTTTGAACAACTTCAAATTCTCAGCTGTAGCTGCTACTAATTCAAATAGAATTAGTAGACTTATTCTAACAGAATCAGACCACATTAAAATAACCAGGCAAATATTGCAAGGCATATGTGAGTTACTAGGCCAGAGAAAGTGTTAGACTGAAGCCCAATACTCCAACAGAATTAGTACAATACAGGATTTAACTGTTCAGGATAATGTGTCATCTGTGTCTCAGCCCCTGTCTGAAAAAGTCCAGTTTAAATGCTAACCCAATCCTTACACCCTACTCCTGTCTAGCAGTGATAGCTCTGGCGTTTGGAATTAGAGGGGACTGAACAACCTTGATTCACAGAAGCTGAAGGGCAATTTCAGTGCAACCCCTTCAGGTACACATGTAGTCTGTGTTCATTGAGAGGGAATCTTTCCATCTCTACCTTTTGTTTTCAATTTGATTTTTCATACCATTAAGTATGAAGAAAATCTGTCTATTAGATGAACTCTTTGCAACTGATGGGATATTTGTCTCAGTCTGAAAGGTCCTACCTATTTAGAAATACGTACTACCTATCATTAGATCTCAAGAGAACTTCATGAACAAAGACAGTACCATTGCTCTATTGTGACTATTGAGAAAATTAAGACAAAGTAGGAATAGAATCAGTGTACATGAACATGATGTGCTTCAAGTGCACTAAAACTGTCCTTCAGTCTGTAAGTCAAGATTGCTCAGCTTCCTAGTTCTCAGTGGAGCACTACTATGTGTGGTGGCAAGGAGAAGGGTGCAACGGGCTTTGAGATCTGACTTTTCTTGATGGCAGTTGAAACCCATTAACAGTAATCTTAGTAAAGGATTTGCAGAAGAACTAGTTTTAACTAACGATAAAGCAGTCTCTCTGTTTTGGACAGAGTAACGTTGTACTGTTATTTGTGTTTCTTCCTGGATTTACTCACACTCGTTTACAGAGTAACTGGCAAACTACGATTCTAATAACTGAGCCATTTGCGGCTACCTCGGGGTCCTCTCTACAGGGCAGCTCTAGGAACACACAAAACGCATTTTACACTGGACCAAAGCCAAATCCAAAACAATGCTAGATTTGAAAGTCTCCTGAATAAACTGGCTCTGTTCCTTACCCTTTGTTTTGTGTGGGTGGTGGCTTAATCTAGCCACCAACAAAAAAGTAACATTGCTGAGGCACGCCAGGCTGAGTGGTGCTGATACTTCCTTGTGAGTTAACCTCAGCTTTCACTCAACATGACTGTGGCTGAGCCATCTTACACTCTCCTTCTCTCCTTCAGTTAAAAAAGTAGTATCTCCTAGCTATTATGTCAAACCATTTACACAGTGATCTGTTTCTAAAGATTTAAAGTCATGGGAAACCATTTTGGAACAGAGGATTGGGAAGTGACATCCAGGTCTCCTCCTGATGCTCATTACATCCATCTTGATTTTGTAAAGGAGGGTACTGCCATAGTCAGTGACCACGGAGAGGGCAGGCTGCTCCATCCAGCAAGCCAATGCCAAATGGTGGGTTTTGGGGAGCAATTTCTCCGAATATAGGGAAAGTTCCAGAAGTAATTTGATTTTATATTGCAATATATGACTGCAGAGCAGTTCAAGGGGTCCTGGTGATGTGCTGCTGGAGATAAGGACTCTGTTACTGAAGATTTCACTGATAATCCAGTTTGAATTAATAGTCACACCTTGCTGTTTCTTACTCAAACACTTCACAACAAACAGAACCCATCTTGGGACATGACTGTAGGTGGGAGGAGTGAGGAATCTTGCTGTTTTGTTTCCCAGCAGGGAAGACTGTTACCAATGGTAACATTTTCCTCCCTCTCTATGCCTTTGTATGGAGGCAAGGGAGATTTTATCACTTGCTTCTGTTACTACCAAACCTCAGAATAAAGCACTCCATTTGCATTTCATATACTATTTTTACAATGTAGAAAGAATAATATTTATGTTGAGGTGTTAAAAACTGACAATAGTCCCACCCTATTTATCAAATACTGACAGCTGACCAAACAAAAGAGTAAAAATTATTTGGAAATCTGGATCTTTTTGAAGCCTTTAAACATATTTGTGGAAATTGGAGGCTTTCCCAATTCACACAGCTACTCTAATAGCTAGAAATAGTTTCTCCCTTATGCCAAGAACTCAAGAAATATATAGCAGGAGGGAGGCACTTCTAAGAGAGCTGAATTCTTTTAACAGTTCTTGACAGAAGAGGAAAAAAAATAATCTTTGTCTGAAAACAACATCAGTTAACAGCCTGAATCAAAGTGCTGAATTTGAAAATCTGGGGGCTCTGGGATGAAGATGGTGGGACTAACAATGGTTCTGAACATCACAAATTCCAGCTCCTTCCTGACTGTGCCTTTGTTCAGCAATGTTCTCTCTAAGAACTCAGCTCTGCTTTTGGGTGGAGTACTCACTTGGTACATTGTCAATGCAAACAACACTGAACTTGTCTGAACACAGTGTGAACTCCTACTAAGAATGACTGCCCAAAACCATGGATCTACGACAGTTAATACTGTTCTTTGAGAGCATCATTTTGCATGGGAATGGTAATTCCCTGAGATTCAGCTACCAACAGCAACAATAAATTTTACCAAGTACTGAAAAAAATAACAACACTGTATAAAAATCATCTGCTTTAACTATAACTGACCAGAAGATACTAAGTATATTACCCTAGTAGAAAAAAAAAAAATCAGTGAAGAAAGTGTACTTGTCTCCTGTTAGCAGTATTCATACATAGCGCACATTTCAGTTTGCTGATAGTGTACATGCTCTTTTAAAAAGTAAACAGGTTTTTTTAGGCTATTGGAAAGGAGACTTGCATGGACTTAGGTTATAAACCTATGTAAATCCAAAAAGGCTATAATAAGTCACCATTTGCTTCTTAGAAGTCAAGGCAGATGGATAATGCAGAAAACCTGGATTGTAGTCTTGCTCTGTCACTGCTTTACTTCATAAATGAATTTACACTCAGCCTCCAGAATGCAGTTGATCAAAGTTGTGATGGGAATACGTCAAAGGAAATAAATTTCTAACAATCAAAGATACTCACCTAGATAAATTTAAGAATCTCTTAAAAACCCCAACAAAATATAAATTCTTTCAACTTTTTTTCCCATAGATCTCTCTTCTTATGAACTAGATCATTAATTATTGTACTCACATTCAGCCACAGTCATCAAGAAGCCAGATCTACTGTATTTCCATGTATAAAATCAGAAATTTAACATGCAGTTCCATCATACTTCAAAGATAAGATCTGTTTTATAGCAAATAGACCAGTGCAGAAAAGACCAAAACCTGTCCCTGCCTGTTTCAAACAATGAGATAATTTTAGTTCCAGACGAGCTATTTCCTAACATTATCTAAACTATAGCTCATAAAAGTTTATGGACTCAACCTCTAAACAGAATAAGAAAACAATGGATCTAAGTATCTTCATTACCAATAATCCCAGTTCAGTGCCACAGATTTATTGATTATAGTGAAGGTTATTTTACCCAAATCTACTAGTAGCTTATTCTTCCCTTTAAAAAAAAAAAAAAATATCAACAGCAAAGAAGCAGAATTTGTCATGTACGGATTTGCAGATGGTGTCCCCAGACACTGTATGTAATGGTGCTGATATGACAAGTCTTTTCAGCATAGCGACTCACCTGGGTAAGATCTGGCACGTGTTTTCAGCACAGGATATTAAGGTGCAAATAACAGCAGTCAAGGAATATTAACTACGGAGACAAAAGAGTGTTGAGTTTGGCAATTTGCATTTAAATGCCATTACAGTTTGGTAATACAGTTGCCCAATTGCATTTTTTCATAACATTACTGTATTTTAATTTTATTAAGGGGGATAGCATGGGAGGTGCCTCTCAACACCTGTCTTTTTTTCCCCCGCCCTCTTCCTAGTGGTGCATTTTGGCATTTCCATCTTTATCAAAAGTCAAGATACGTCTAGTTCTGTATTTAATTACAGCACATACAGGCCCACTGATATAATAAGAAATCTCAACTCAAATGAAGAATATAGGTCAACAAGTTGGTAAGTAACTATTGTCTTGAGAAAGTTTATGTGCTAACTTAGACCTCCACAATATTCAATCTGAAGATAAGAAGTTGGAGTCAACCTTCAGGTCCTCACTCTGCAGCTGCTTCAGCAACACTGATTTCACAGAATCACAGAACAGTTGGAGTTGTAAGGGCCCTCTGGAGATCATCTAGTCCAGCCATCCCCTTGCTCAGAGCAGAGCCAACCGGCACATTGCTCAGCGCCATGTGCAGTCAGGTTCTGAATATTACTAAGGATGGAGATGCCATGACCCTTCTGAGCAGCCTGTTCCAGTGTTTGATAACCCTCACAGTAAAGTTTTTTTCTCAAGCTTGAATAGGATTTCCTGTATTTTATTACTCCAGGCTTTCCCACTGATCTCAAGGACCTAGGACTTCTGAGAACATACCTTATCAGTAAAGACCAAGTGTGAAGAAGGCATTGAGTATCTCAGCCTTTTCTATCCTGCTGTCACAAAGCCCCCTGCTCCACTTATCCAGTGGGTTCACATTTTCCCTAGTCTTTCTTTTGTTGTAAGATTTTGGCTCTCCTGACCATCCCGTCATGCTTGGATAGTGTCTCTGTACACCATCTGCACGACCTGACACTGCTTCCACCTCTCCTGTGAATCTTTTTCATGTCTGAGCTTTGTGAGCAGCTCTTTGTTTATCTGTGCAGGCCTCCTGCCACCTTTGGTTTATTTCCTGCCCATTTTAATGAACCATTTTCAAGCTCTGAAGAGGTCATCCTTGAAAAATCAGTAAGATCTGTGACCCCTCTTTT